ATCCATCAAGCCTCTCTCTTCCTTCTGTGCTGACTGCCAAGACTGGCGCTCCATGGCGATCATAGCTCTTCCAAAGTGGCGTGGGTGCGAAGATCAAGCTCCTTGGAAGACTGGGACTTCTCTGTGGAAGCAGGGCAGGGGTGGCAGGAAGCCTTTCTCAATTCCTGGGCCCTGCCCATCTGCAGCGCTAGGCCCCCTGCTGAGAACTGCTGGAGCTGAGTCAGCCAAGTTGACACAATGTATCAACTAACACACCTGGGTTCTAGTCCCACTTTGGTGCTCTGGTGGTATGGCCCTGGTCAAATCATTTCCTCTGTGAGCCTTGATTTCCCTTCTGAGAGCAGCATGGGCAGGGGCTGTCCTTGTGGGGAGCACTGGGCTGGACCCCTGTAGAGAATGGTGATGGTGGTGAGCTCACCCCCACATGCTTGTCTTTTCTTCTCCAGGGCCATAGCTTCCTTTCCTTTCCCTTCCATTCCCTCCCCGTCCCCTCCCCTTCCCCTTCCCCTGCCCCTTCCCCTGACCTCCAGGGACTTGGTCTCCAGCCTGTGCAGGGTGAGGAAGGTAGTTGCAGGCCAGATTAGGAGGCCAGTCTCATCTTTTCTGGAGCAGAAATCAGTGATAAGGGCTGATCTCTTGAAATGCTTCCTCCAGGCTTTTTTTTTTTTTTTTTCTCCTCTTCCCTCTTCCTTGAAAGTTACTTGCCGGGTAGGTGTTGACACAAAGTTGGGAAGAACAGGACCTCAAGACTGTGATTGCTACTTTCCCTAGGGATAAGGAAAGGTTAAATCAAGAACACCACAGGCTAGTTTATTCCACAGTCATGTGGGAGGATTTTGAGATGTTCTTTAATTGAGCCAGTCTTTTTCCAAGGTTAACTTCTCACTGGGCCTAGTGTGGTGCCCATGTGTGGCTTTGCCTTTACCTCCTTTCTTCACACATAATAGGTTAAGCATAAAGCCTTGGCTTTTCATAAGGAAGGGTTTAAGAGCTGTGGACAATGGAAACTGGAGAAACAGAGGGGCCTTTTTCTTGCTCTTGTATCTCAGATGTGCTTCTTTATTGCTACCGTTTGGCAAAGTACTCTGTTAGTGCCCCTGGTACCCCCCATTTGCCAGGTGTGTTGCTATTTCTGGGATTGTGGAGTTGGTTTTAAGACACTTGAAAACTTCTTTCCCCGCTTCCATTCACAGTAACTGGGGCAAGGGCCCAGGGGAGGGGCTTGTGCTGACCTGTCTAGTGATCATGTTAACACCTGACTCTCCTTCTTTCTTCCAGGGGCCGGGCTAGAGCGACATCATGGTATTCCCCTTACTAAAAAAAGTGTGTATTAGGAGGAGAGAGAGGAAAAAAAGAGGAAAGAAGGAAAAAAAAAAGAATTAAAAAAAAAAAAAAAAAAGAAAAACAGAAGATGACCTTGATGGAAAAAAAAAATATTTTTTAAAAAAAGATATACTGTGGAAGGGGGGAGAATCCTATAACTAACTGCTGAGGAGGGACCTGTTTTGGGCAGTAGGGGGAGGCCCAGGGGGTGGGGCAGGGGGCTGCTCTTTCACTCTGGGGATCCACCACGGACACTTCTCAACTGTGCAAGCTGCTGCCTATGTGTCCCTGCCCTACTTCACCCCTCCGGGGGCTGCTCGAGGGTAGGTGGGCATGGGTGGTAGGAGGGTTTTTTTTTACCCAGGGCTCTGGAGGACACCAAACTGTTCTGCTTGTTACCTTCCCTCCATCTTCTCCCTGCCTTTCACAGCCCCTCCTGCCTGCTCCTGTCCTGCCAGGGTTACCACCCACCCCACCCCTCCAGATTGCCTGGTGATCTGTTTTGTTTCCTTTTGTGTTTCTTTTTCTGTTTTGAGTGTCTTTCTTTGCAGGTTTCTGTAGCCGGAAGAACTCCGTTCCGCTCCCAGCGGCTCCAGTGTAAATTCCCCTTCCCCTTGGGGAAATGCACTACCTTGTTTTGGGTTTTTTTTTTGTGTTTCAGTTTTTTGTTTTGTTGTTTTTGTTTTTTTTCTTTCTTTTTTTGCCTTTTTTTCCCCCTTTTATTTGGAGGGAATGGGAGGAAGTGGGAACAGGGAGGTGGGAGGTGGATTTTGTTTATTTTTTTAGCTCATTTCCAGGGGGTGGGAATTTTTTTTAAATATGTGTCACGAATAAAGTTGTTTTTGAAAATAAAAATTGTTCTGGCCTTTTGGGTGTAAAGATCATTTATCTTTTTATTCTTAGCTCACAGATGGCTGTTAATTTTACTTTATGGAAGTATTGGTGTTGAGGGGAAGTTCCCACTTGTAAATGAAGGAGTAGGAGTTACAAATAGCGGGAACATTATGTGTCTAGTTGTGGAAGATGAGTGTTATGCTTCAGTGAAATCTAATAGCAAGATATACATCCAAATGAACTATCATTAATCATGCCTTAAATTCTTCACTAACATAGGGTGAACTCAAGAAATGGAAAAAAGCTATTGCAGAGCTTGTTTTCTCCAGCCACAGAGTCGGTTGATGAGTTCACAGCTGGCTCTGTTTTGGTGTCTTGCTGAGTACATACTTGGCCATCTTGCCAAAAATACCTAATTTTGTATGATGAGGGGTTTAATGCAGGTCCTTCATACTGAGCTACATCCCTAGCCATTTGAAAAAAGTTTTCAAAAACGTGGTTGGGGGCTGGTGAGGTGGCTCAGTGGTCTAAAGCACCTATTTAGAACAAGCTTAGCAAAGCACAGGGACCACAGTTCAATCCCCCAGCACCACATGCTAGCCAGCCCCGCCCCCTAGTGGGCTGAGCTGGACATACACACACAAATAAAAATTAAAAAAAAAAAAAAAAAACGTGGTCAGTGCCGGTGAGATTGCTCATTGGACTAAGTGCCAGTTTAGACCTAAGCGCCTGGGCCTGGGTCTGACTCCCAGCACCACATGCTGTGCCAGCCCGCATTGTGGTGCATGTCTGTAATCCTAGCCCTGGGGAGGCTGAAAAGGAGGACCACTACAAGTCCTGGCTGGGTCGTGAGTTCCTGCACCAAATACATTTTTACTTTTTTTTTTTTGCAGAACTAGGGATTGAACTCAGGCCCTTGCGCTTGCCAGGGAAGCGCTTATTCCACTGAGCCAACTCCCCAGCCCTCCAAATACATTTTTAAAGTGATTTGAGACAGGTTCTTGCTGTATAATTCAGCCCATCCTTGAATTTAGTATGTAGCCCAAATGCTTCTGTTTATAGAGACCCTCCTGGCTCATCCTCAAGGGCACAGGTTGTAGGAGTGCGCCACCACACCTCAGGTTACCTGAACTCAATCTCAGTACTGGGCCCAGGAGCAAATGGTCTCATGCCTGGCCCATTCTAAAATTTTGAGGCAGAATCTCAGTTCCCAGGGCTATGTTCAAATTTGGGGTCCTGCTTCAGAGTACTGAGCTTACAAGCTTTGATCAACATGCCGAGCTTGCCATCTTCTATTACCAGCTTGGTATTAAAATTCTTGGGTACTAGTCCCCATCATAAGCCTACAAAATTGTTTTAACTTGTAAATGCTGGGTTCTGCATTACCTCTGATCATTATCTTGGTGCTCTTTGTCTAGAAGTCTTAGGTTAAAATGTCTGTGCCCTGTATTCAAGAAGCCTTAGCCCCCTACCTCTCCAGTTGCATTGTATCCTGAATTCTCAGGTCTGGGTTAACCACTAGTTTCTTAGTGTTGACCATTGATTATACTACTTCCCGTTGTGTGATTAGGCATGTGAAATCTTTCTTGGATAGCGACTGGTGTGGGGATCTCAGTGTGGAAGCTCCTGCAGAGGCTGATGAGCCATAGGCTGGGTAGAGTGTACAAATTGTAACTCATGGGACATTAGCACTGGTCCCTTTAATGTTGGGGAGATCTCATCCACCCACCAGGGGGCACCAAGTGTCTGGTCCTAAAACATCACTTTAAGTCTTGGAGGGTTAATGTTTTGTTTTTGTTTTTGTGGAACCGGGAATTGAACTCAGGCCCTTGCGCTTGCCAGGCAAGTGCTTATTCCACTGAGCCATCTCCCTGGCCCCCGGGTTAATGTTTTTTGACCTGTGTTTTTTTATTTTTTATGTTGAAGCCATTTTACTTTGTCATATTTCTTTGCCTCTCCATTCCTACTTTCACTGAGCAGCTTCCCCTTTGTTCTTGTCCAAAAGGCCTTGTGATGCCTCTAGTAGTTGACAAGGTACACTCAGGTGTGGAGCTAAGGGTTCTCCAGTTTAATCCCTATCAAGTTTCTCTACCTCATCCTGCTCCACATGGTATGTACTGTGCATTTTCTCCAGTTGGGTTGCTGTATTTTTCTTTCTTTCTTTCTCTGTCTGTCTGTCTGTCTTTTCTTTCTTTCTTTTTCTTTTTGTGGTAACAGAGATTAAACTCAGGACCCTGTGTTTGCCAGGCAAGCACTTGTACTACTGAGCTATCTCCCTGGCCCTGAACTATTTCCTCGGCCCTGTATTTTCTTGTGTGACACATGCTGTTCCCTCTAGCCTGCTATGGACATTCATACTTTTTTTTTAAAAAAAATATTTATTTATTACATTTATTTATTGTGTGTGTGTGTGGCCAGCTCAGCCTACCAGGGGATGGGTCTGGCTGGCATGTGGTGCTGGGGATCGAACCGCGGTCCCTGTGCTTTGCCAAGCTTGTTTCAAGTAGGTGCTTTAGACCACTGAGCCATCTCTCCAGCCCCGACATTCATACTTTTCTACCAAAACCATTCCCATCCTTCAAAGCATAAGCCAGACACTACAGTCATGCATAACGCCTTCTCTAGATTCTTTTTTAAAATTTTTTATTTATTTATGTGTGTGTGTGTGTGTGTGTGTGTGTGTGTGGCCAGCTCAGCCCACCAGGGGGCGGGGCTGGCTGGCATGTGGTGCTGGAGGACCGAACCGTGGTCCCTGTGCTTTGCCAAGCTTGTTTGTTCTAAGTAGGTGCTTTAGACCACTGAACCATCTCACCAGCCCCGCCTTCTCTAGATTCTTTAGTCAAAATTAATCACTGATGCAATCAGGGCAAATTTTTCCTCTTTAGAGCCTCCTGGTATTACAGTTAATTATACTCCTGTTTCTTCACTAGATTGCAGTCTCCTTGAGGGCACAGATTGTGTGTCTCACAGAGCCTGGTATATATACCTGGTATATATATATATATATATATATATATATATATATATATATATATTTAGTGCATGTCATTTTAGTAGGTGCTTAAAAGATGTTAATTCCCTTAGGGTTGTCTTTTCTGTCTTGAACAAGACAACAACCATAGCGTTCTCTTTATCCTATTGCTTCCTAGCTCCTCCAATCCTTATAATGAGGCAGGAGACTAGGGCATGGCCACACACCTGGGGAAGTGGGATGTTGTGTTAATAATGGTGATCCAGGGGCTAGTGAGATAGCTCAGTGGGCTAAGTGCTACTTAGGCAAGTGCAGGGACCAGGTTTCCATCCCCAGCACTGGGGGGGGGGGGCCTGAAAACAGGAGGATCGCTACAACTGAGATGCACATATATACATACATACATACATACATACATACGTACATACCGGAGATCCAGGACATAAGCACAAGCACAGAAAATAACAAACATAACAAACAGTTCCCAAACCCTACACCTGGGACCAATCAGAATATGCTATCTTCAATTTCGGCATGAAATTAAGCAGGATTTTGGTAGAAAGGCTTAGATTTGAGGTCAGCTTGAGGAATGGGGAAATACAAAAGAGGGTGTCCATTAACCTTACAGTCTTTATAAGCTTCCAGTGGTCTCCTCTGCACTCTGTAGAGGGTAATGTTTTTCTTACCTTTTTTTCCCTTTAATAACCTCGCTATCTTTTGCACGTGTCTTGACCAATTCTTTTATTTATTTATTTATGTGTGTGTGTGTGTGTGTGGCCAGCTCAGCCCACCAGGGGGGCGGGGCTGGCTGGCATGTGGTGCTGGGGATTGAACCGTGGTCCCTGTGCTTTGCTAAGCTTGTTCTAAGTAGGTGCTTTAGACCACTGAGCCATCTCACCAGCCCCGAATATGGGCTGTCCTTTTTTTGTTTTGTTTTGGTGGTCCCGGGGATTGAACTCAGGACCTTGTGCTTGTGAGGCAGGCACTTATTCTACTGAGCTATCTCCCCGGCCCTTGACCAATTCTTTGTTCAGGACAAGAACCTGCAAATTCTAGGAGCCTGCATCACCCTAGAGCACCAGTAACAACAGGACTTTCAGGTTTTCTACTTCATCTGGTCTCTTTCTTTTGTCATTATCAGAGGTTTTTTTTATTTTTTACTTATTTTTGTTTGAGACGAGGTCGCTCTTCACACTATAGGTTGGTCGAGAGCTCACTATGTAGCCCATACTGGCCTCCAATTCACAATTTTTCCTGCTCAGCTTCCTGAGTGCTGGGATTGCAGGGGGTGGGGGCAGAAGCATGCAAAGCACGTTGCTACCTTTGGACAAACGCAGTTGTTTTTGATAGATGCTGTGTGTTCATCACTCCTGATAAACTCCTGTTGGCTGAAGAATTGAAGCAAGCTCAGACTCACTGAGGTGCTGCTGGCAGGAAGGGTCTTTAAGAACTTAGAAGAACCTGCATAAGAATTTCTTGGGGCCTTGGGAGATAGCTCAGCAGCATAAGCACCTGCCTGACACAAGGTCCTGAGTTTGATCCCTGGTACCAAAAAAAAGAAAAAGAAAAAATATTGTCTAGGATGAGAGTTGTGAGTCAGCTATTCAGAGGGCCTTTGCGTGATGCAAAGTAAATCAAAAGAACTCTGCACTTTGTTTTTGTGCTATGGAAGACAATGCACAGCTTTCATATTGAGCTATAGCCCATCTTTTTTTTTTTTTTGAGATAGATCTCAGTCATTAAATTGCCCGGGCTGGGTTTGAGCTTGAAATACTACTGCTTCAGCCTCTCAGAGTATTGTTTTTTTTTTTTTTTTTTTTTTTTTTTGGCGGGGGTTACCAGTAATGAAACTCAGGATCTTGTGCTTATGCCACTGAGCTATTTCCCACACTCCCCCCCAACCCCCCCTTTTTTTTCTTAAAACTGGATCTCACTATGTTTTAGGCTGAACTTGAACCCAGACTGGGCTCAGACTCACAGGGATCCGCCCGCCTCAGCCTACCCAGTGCTAGGATTACAGGTGTGCACCATCATGCCCGGCTCCAGAATGCGTGTTTTTATATGTGTGCTGCTG